CAGAAATCAATTCTCCTACGTCTGTCTACCTGGCTTACCAGATGTCTACGCAGCCTGACAAAGCTCTAGTTCACGCATTATGCTAAGCGACGGTATACCTAACTATAGTTTATTTAAAAACAAAAACAAAAAAACACCGGCTATAGTTTAGGATCCACGGTTCAGTCTAAGGGCAGATTCACACGATACTCCCACCTAGTAAGAAGTAAATCGCGATGGCAGCGATGCGTGGAGCCAGCCAGTACTACGTGCAAGAGATGCGCCGCGGAAAAAGCGATGTTGATTTTTGTTTAGCCTTGCCTAGCCTGCGGACGAAAGCCGGCCAGTTTCCTCTCCCCAGGCCAGGCACCGCAAATGGAGTCCTTTCCGAGCAAGCTGCAAAGAACAGACTCCCCTTCTCCGCCGCCGCCTCCTTTCCCGCCGTCGCTCACCTTATTGCTTTCCATCGCAGCCCTTCACGGTCGCGGGTCGCAGCATACCCGGTGCCTACCAGTCTTCGGGCACGGAAAATCTGCAGGCCGCAGCTGCGTTAGGAAACCTAGGTAACCCTGTTGCAGTTTCCCTTGGCAACAAGTAGGTCAAAGCAAGATCATAGCCGATAGGTCGAGTCGATCCCGGAGAACCAATGGAAAGAGCAAGAGAGGGACAAACGAGGTCATCGACCGCAAAGGATCCGGGGAAATGAAGTAGCGGCTCTCTTTGGCTCTTCTAGGTTAGTTTTTGGAGCTTTAAGAGCAGGTCTTCAAACTTGACAGCTTTAAAACTTGTGGACTTCAACTCCCAGAATTCCTCCTCCAGTCTTTACTGGAGTTGTTTTTCTGGGTTTTTAAGTCTAAGAGTTTTAAAACTGCCAAGTTTGAAGACCCTTATAAGAAAAAAGGGGGGAAAATAAATTGCTAAAAATCCGAAAAGGGGTGCTCTGATAGTTACCTGAGGTGGAGCAATGGATCTTATAGTAATGAGGTTTTTTCCTATATCTTTTTGGAGGAAATACCATTTCATGACGTAGTTTGAACATAGTGTTACTCTTAACAGCAGGGTATAATCTCTTTTATTACTGTCTGTTAATGTCTACAGAGAGATTCTTTCATAATTCTCTCAGGTGCAATTTCCCAGCTTCAGAAATGTGGCTCCAACTCCAAATTTAGCATATTACTGTTATAATTCAATTGGTATGTGCTTAAGTGATAACCCATTTATACATCTTGCATCATTAAAATCTAGTCCAGAGAATATGGCAATTATCTTGAAAAGAATCCCTATAATCCAGAAGTAACAGGGTCTCATTTTCCATGTATACTGATGAAGCCATTCACAATTCACAAATTCCCCAATGAAGTGAGGCTAAAGAGCAGCAAGGACCCCTCATGAGGCTAAGCTGCCATCCTATTTGCACATTATACTGGCCCACAAAATAACAAAATACTTTTTAACCTAGTGTAGAGTGCAGAAGCAACCTCATTATTAGTTCACGTTTGAATAATTTTGTGTACAATAATTCCAGAAATTTAACTAGGACAATTAGTTAATACAGGTCTATAAAGATTCTCAGTCTCCCAGGTTATAGTTGTCCCAAAGGTGCTTTTTCAAGAGACAACTGGACTTTCTTGATTTTCTTTGAAGACGTTTTGCTTCTCATTCAAGAAGCTTCAATGAACTGTCTTAAAAAAAAAACAACACAAGGAAGTCCAGTTGCTTCTAGAAAAAGCACCTTTGGGATAGTTTTTTTTAAATTTATGTATCAAATTTGGAAACTGTCCACACAGTGACTTCATAGAACAAATCAGTTCAGAATTCTTACTTAATACAAATTATTGGACTGAAATTTTTGATTTGTGAAAACCCTGTTCTCTTGGGAAATCTATATTCATGGAAAAGATGGAAGGAAATACAATACCCGCAGCAAGGAAGGTGGATGGACAGTGATCATAGGTATGCTAAGAACATGGTGAGAGAAGAGAACTGGGAGAACACAGAGTCAAAAACAACTTGAAGGCACATAATCAGACTATCATTGTGAACCCCCGGTTTTTGCATGTCATACAACAAGTGGTTTGGGTGGGTGTCTGATACATTCCTTATATCTGATTCCCTGACAGATTTTTTTTCTGAAAATATTATCTTTACATTTTGTGCACAAAAACATTGTTAATCACAATGGCAAGGGTAAAAGATGGAGACATCCTGTAGCAAATACTAATGAGATTCAAATAAAACTGTCTGAATTGATACAGGAGGATCAAAAATCTATTATAATAGAACAACGGGTTGTGATATTTCGAAGGAAAGAAATTTGGGTTTACAAGTCAGGATGTTTAACTTTTTAAAAAAGTCATTTAGTGAATGCTAAAATAGTGCATTCTAACTACTGCAACCATGGTGGCACAGTAGTTAGAATACAGTATTGCAGGCTGACTCGACTCACTTCCAGGAGTTCAATCCTGACCGGCAGAAGGTGGACTCAGCTTTCCATCCTTCTGAGGTTAGTAAAATGAGGACACAGATTATTTGGGGCAATATGCTGACTTTGTAAACTGCTTAGAGAAGTGATATATCAGTCTAAGTGCTATTGCTTGTTATGTAAGATTATGAGACAGAAAAAGAATATTAATTCAATACTTTGAGTTTTAATATTCTCTTAATTTAGAGCAAATTAAATGCCTAAACCAGCATTTCTCAACCTTAGCAATTTTAAGATGAATGGATTTCAATTCCCAGAATTTCCTTGTCCTTCATGATGGAATTCTGGGAATTGACATTCACACATCTTAAAGTTATTAAAATTGAGAAACACTGGCCTGGGTACTGAAAACATTGACAGGAAATAAAAAGAAATGAGAAAAACAATCACTTCTGGAATTAGTAACCTGAGAATATTTTGATCATTATGTACGGATGAAGTGCCCTTTTGAAAAACTGCTTTTGCGATATCCTGATTGTGCTTTCAATCACTTGAATTTATTGCAAGATCTGTACAGATTCAGGAACTGCTTGGTACCCATTGACAATTGGCTGTAGTGATGTCATTTTCCTACAACAGATTCCAATTATTTGTTGATATTAAGGGACAGAAACACATATTGGTCCTAATTGTGGTAATAAATTAAGGATTAGCTGTACTATCCGGATTTGTGCTGTACGCTGCACAAAATGATATTCATTAGGCTAGGATTCATAGTATATCTTTCTTGACCGGCTATTTTAAAAATATAATCCCATTTTCACTATTTTTATTTGCTTGCAATTATTACTTTATTTTAAAATGCATTTGTATAGATTTTGTTTTGTGAGAATCCCGCCAACAGTTAAATAAAACATAACAGTGTGTTGTATGAACACATCCATAAGATGTCAATAAAGTAATTTCTGACTAAGAATGTTTTTATTTTCCTTTATGAATACATATGTCTTTTTAATCTATTTTTAAATTCACACAGCTACTAAGAAATTATTTAAATCTAGATAGTGGTATTGAAAGCAGTATATGACACTATAAACTTCATACATCTACTTTATGAATTTTTGCCATATAAATTACAAATTAATTAGTTTGTAAATTAATTTCCCTGCATCAAATTAATTATTTGGGATTATAAACTTCCATAGAAGATAATTGTTCTAAGTAAAACCCAAGGATTAACATGGAATAAAGATTGTGTTGAATAAAAATAAGTTGAAAAATATAATTTGTACGCAGATCCACAATGGGAAAAAATGATACATTAATTAATTAGGCAACAATTTATTTGGAGATTCATCAAGCTTTTCTGAATACCTTGAGTCTGATTTTCCTCAGTTGGGACCTTCCAAATATGTAGAAAATATTTATTTGCTGCTGAATCTAGGAATACCGTAGTAGTCTCAAGATATCTGGGAGGATCAAATAATGGATTTCCTCTTTCTTTTAAGTCAAAGTTTGTTTATCATAGTTTGTGATATAAATCAGAATAGCTAGTAAGAACAAATTAAATTATATGAACTGAATTGGCTGGCTTTGCCCCCCCCCCCAAAAAAAAAAAATGTTAGCAAGCCAACAGGGTACTTCAGGGAATACTACCCTAAGAACCACCAAGAGACATACTTACTAGTTTCATTCCATGATAGTTCACTCAGTGATTTTAGGCCAGTTGTTACTTCTTAGCCTAATCTTTCAAACGTTCATTTTTCACTTGTAAAATTTAACGTTGTTTTTTAAGTGTGCATTTCATTATGTTTTATATTACTTTTTTATGTTGCTTGTAAACTACGCATACTCACTTATATGAGATGGACATTGCAAAAATTTGATAGATAAATATAAGGATAGATATAATAAACAAACAATCAACCTTATAGGGTGGTTATTCTGGGAGAAAAATAGGTTTTGCATTACATTTAGACATTCCAATTAAAATGGTAATCCCCAAACGAATTATATAATTTAAACATGTTGTGGATGAGAATCTACTTTTTTAAAAAAAAACTTCACAATGAATATATATGCCGGTCCAGTGGTGGGTTATTCTATAGGCAGGGGCTAGGTCAGTGATTTTCAAACTTGGAAAACTTGGTACTTCAACACCCAGAATTCACCAGCTAAGTCCACACATCTGAAAAGTTGCCAAGTTTGTAGAACGCTGGGCTGATCCAAAAGAAGTGTTGAGCAACAATCTAATCCCAGGTCAACTAAACTCGCATGAATGCACCTTAGGGAAAGGCGGGAGGAAAGTGACCCAGTGGGAAATGCCTACTGTCTCACTCTTCCTAAAGAGAATTTCTCCGTATCGGGTTCTCCCTTCTGTCCTTGGCAGCCCCAGTCTCCCCCTTTCCCTGGAGAATGGTTCGCTCCGAGCCCGTCAAGCTCCGCCTCTCTCAGAACCCGGAAGCGCCTATCCGAAGGAGGGGCAGGGGCGGGGGCGGGGCGGGATTCGGCCGTGGTTGTCCCTCAGCAACTGCGAGGCGGGAGCAGGGAGGGAAGGAGGGAGGGAGATGAGTGGAGACGCCTCCTCCAGCCCCGTCCGCGCCCTCCCTTGCTTCCCGCCCTCCGACAGCGCCTGAGCGGCAGCCGCTCCAGGGAAAGGGGCCGCAGCCGCGTGGAGAGTATGAGTGGCGCAGGGGTTCAGGCTCCCGCGACCCCTGGGGTCAGCCCGGAGGGCGACCCTGAGCCGCCCCCGTCGATGCTCAGTGTCGATCTGCCGGGGCTGTTGTCGCAGTTCGCGCGGAGTTTCGCGCTGGTCTTCCCCATCTACCTGCTGGGTTATCTGGGGCTGAGCTTCAGCTGGGTCCTGGTCGCCTTGTTATGCCTCTTCTGGGTTCAGCGGCACCGAGGTGGAAAGAGCTCCCGCCTGGGCCGGGCACTCGCCTTCCTGCAAGACGAGGAGCGGGCAGTGCGGCTCACCGTCTCCACGGGAGACCTTCCCGCCTGGGTGAGTGAAGGGATGGGTGGGGTGGACTGGCTGGCTCCCTCCGGGGACTTAGCGCTTCCTCGCCCGCCTTCCGATTTGTGTTGGGGGGGGGGACCGGCTTCCCGGACGGAAAGTGGATGCGGGCTTGAGGGACGACCCTTGAGGGTCTCCTGCTCCCTTGGTCGCCCCGGGGAGGGATGGGAGTCGGTTTTCAGCAACCGGTTGGGCCGAACCCCAGAAAAGCCAACCTAGTTTGAGCCTCGCTCGTCAGGACGCAGAAAGTTGGGCGAGTTGGCTTAAAACACGGTCGGGCCGGCTGAACCAGCAACAAGAGCCCCCACTCCCGGTGGGGAAAGACAGCCACGTTTTTTTTCCTTCGGTTTGTTTTAAAAAAGAAAAACCAGGCTGGTGGGTGGCTGTGTGGTCATGCCAAGAGGGTGGGTGAGAGGGTTGCGCTCTTTCCCCACCTATTGAATTCCTGAACAAGCATTGGAATTTATTTCCTGGGGTTGAAAATGATGGCAGTCAAAGTTCAACGTGTCTGGAGGGTTTGAAATTTAGGAAAGGCTGTTTGGGAGTTAATCTTCTGGGTACAGATCCACCTCCCTGCCTTTATGGAAATAAATCTGTCCCTTGGGAAAAAGTCTTTGCTTTGCTATCACCAACTGTTTTCAACCCCCTGTGGATAGAAACCAGGTTGGGTGGGTGGCACCAAGTTTTCTGGAGAAATAACTAGGTGCTATCTGAGGTTGCATTATTTCATGAGGTGTAAGGGGAAATGGATTTATGTGTTGTTGTTTTTCTTTTACGTCTATAAAACAATCGTTTAGGTGATTGAAATCATGCAGGAGCCTAACCCACTACACTGTATTTTGGTTTGCAATATATTTAGAAATGAGGATCATACCATGTACTGTTTGCTCATGCTTTTGGCAGTATTTATTTTCTTCCTGATAAATAACTTCTCTGGTTGTCTTTTTGTTTTCAGGTCAAATACAAAATATTATTTCTTTTGAGTCCCTTGTTAAGAGCACTAAGGCACTTTTGAGCTATTGCCTCGTGTGCGTCATAGGATATAACATTCGTCTTGAGAGTCTTGAGTTTTGTCTACTCTACACGCTGTACAGTATACAATTGTAAGCCACCCAGAATCAGTTGGCTGAGATGGGCTATATAAATTGAATAAATAAATGCATAAATAATGTGTAAACTTTGTCCTATTAGCCAACCATGCCAAATAGATGTTGCCTCTGAACTTGTAGAAAAAGGAAAGGAAAGTTATTTTTAAATGCACAACATTCTTTGGATAACACCTGTTTGATCTCAGCTACCTGGCTGCTTATCTGCACATTAGCATGAACATAAGTTTTCTGAATAACTGTTTTTATTCCAGATGAGAGCACTCTTTCTTTCCCCCTTCTTTTTGTAGCTGCCTGAAATATGAGTAATTAGTGGGTGTGTCTTCCTTAATAGTCACTAGGATCCTTATTGTGTAAGAAAAAGTTCAAGAACTGCTTTTGCTTTTTTAATATTAAAAAAATCATAAAAGATTAATAGAACTTCAGTATGACACACAGGTTTGTTCATGCTATCTCTCATTAAATGTTTAGGAATTGTTTACAGTTAGGGACAGCTTGCTATTTTTTAAGAAAAAATGTTCAGTCATAGTGAACTAATGAAATTCTCAAACTGTAGCCCCATGAAATTAAATTCTAATGTTCAGAGCAATCACTTGCAATCATTTCAAAGAAATATATCTTGTCAAGAAAAGAGATGAAGAAGATAGAGTCAAATGTGATAAACAGCAGAAGATTATCTCTGTAAAGAAGAGATAAAGAAGATAATGCAAGGCATGGCTGATTCATGTTTGATATTTTACGGAGTATATACAATGTATATAGGGAAATAATATTTGGTTAGCAGTTCTGGTTGAGAACAATAGATATCACGCCCCTCCATCAGAGGTCCTTGTGTCAACTCAAAATTGGTTCTAGACCTGTCTGATTGGATGAAGTTGTTTTGAGAGCTGAGTCTTTTTTTCTCTCTCGTGTCGATTTATTTGAAGTGGAACAAAGCTAGTCTTTTTTTTCTTCAGTATTAGAATTTTATGAGTGGTTCAGTTTCTGCTTGATCTAAGGTCTGGTCTCTATATCTTACAAAAAGCTTTGTAAGAAAAATCAAATATAAATGATGGATTTTATTTTCTTATTTATTAAACTTGTATACCACCTATCTTGCCAGAGACTGCTCTAGATGGCTTACAGTCAATTAAAATTAAAACATTAAAATGATAAATAAGGATAATACATTTAAAATGCATTTAAAATAAAACTTAGGATGGTGAGTGGGGCAAAGGGCGCATAGGAAGGAAGTAGGGTGTTATTTACAGATAGTCCTCGACTTCGACCATAATTGAGCCCAAAATTTCTGTTGCTAAGTGAGACATTTGTTAAGTACATTTTGTCCCATTTTACAACTTTTTTTTACCACAGTTAAGTGTATCTGGCTTTCCCATTGACTTTGCTTGTTAGAAGACTGAAAAGGTGATCAAATAACCTCAGAAGACTAACGTTCAGAGCAGTTACTTTCTCTTTGAAACAAATACGTCAAGAAAAGAGATGAAGAGGTCATAAATATGAACCAATTGCCAACAAGCATCCGAATTTTGATGTGATCATGAGGATGCTGCAGTGGTTGTAGGTGGGAAAAATGGTCGTAAGTCACTTTTTTCAGTGTTGTTTGAACTTCGGATGGTCACTGAATGAATAAGTTGAGGACTACCTGTATTCCATCAACCACTTCTAAAGATCCACATTTTAATTGGGGCCCTAGGCTAGTTGGCGCAGCCATCTCTTCCAAGTTCTTTTGGAAGACTAAAAGAGGGGGTACAGATCTTGTTCACAAGTATACAAATGCTGTTTTGTTCCATAACTGGGCCTGAAATTGGACTAAAAAAGGGAAGATGGAAATTGTTCAGACAGCTGGGGTAAAGAGATTTTTTTTAAGGAGGGGCAAACCGGGTCCTCCTTAAAAGATCTTGAAAATGTCTTCTCCTGCAGTGAAGAATTTATCATTGCCTGAACTCACTCAGTTGCCATTGCCCTGAAGGTTTTCACCAGCCAGGAGAAACAAGGATCTAATTGACAGGAGGTTGCATTGATAAGTACTGAAGACTTTTCCCTTCACCAGGTCCAAAGGACCAAAGCCTCAGCTGCCTTATGGTTCCAGGATGTGACCATGATTATGGGGCAAAGCCCCTGGGAAATCTTCCAATTCTTCTACACAAAGAAGTTCTACACAAAGATGCTTTTCAAAAGGTAACTGAACTTTCTTAGGTTTTTTTCTTGAAAAAGTTTTTCTTCTCATCCAAGAAGCTTCTGAAGTTCTTCTTGCATGAGAAGAGAAATGTTTTTGAGGGAAAAAAATAACCCAAGAAAGTCCAGTTGCCTCTTGAAAAGCACCTTTGGGACAACCATGAGCTGGATGATTGATAATTTCCATAGACATTTAAATCCGTCAATCGTCAGGAACAGACTGCTTGAATGGGCCTTTAGATAATGTGATTTTAATAATGTAAGAGGAAGATGTTATGGCTTGAAAACCTTAAAGGCAAGCAAAAGTATTGTAGTTGGCTGGGCTTTCTTAAAAAAGAAATTAAGAATAATGAATCTCAATTGTATCAGTAAGAAAACTAAGAGACATTAAAAACAAATCATGGTAGTTAAATAAGCAGTTTATGAAGGAACTGAGGCTGAAGAAGGTGCTTACATGAAATGGAAGGTAAGGCAAACAGCCAAGAAAGCTGAGAAATGTAGCAATGAGATTAGGAAGGCAAAGACAGAAAATGGCCTCAGGCTCACAAGGAAGGTTTCTTAAAAATAATTCAATAGCAAGAGAAAGGCAAAAGAAATAATTCATTTCAAATGAGTAGAGAAATCTTGACAGATGACCAAATCTAAAAGGCAAAAGGAAGTCAGCAGCTATTTTGCTTTTGCATCCAAAGGATATATATTCATTCATTCATTTATTAACTTAATTAAGTGAATTATTAATTAACAAATACCATTAAAAGTTGGGAGGAGAGGAACAGTAAGTACATGGGGAGAGGTGGGGTTTTTCTTAATCCATGATAGCATAGATTTTAAATGAATACCCAGAGGGAGAGTTCATGTCAATAAAGATGTGGTAAAGAAGCCATTTTGAATGTGTTCAAGTTTCCAGGACTTGAGAGGTACCTCCTAAAACAGTGAAGTTGCTGATGCAAGGACTGCTGTCAATCTTTGCCTGTTAGAGGACTTGTGAAGAACAAATATAGTCCGCTTCTTCAAAAAAAATAGGATTCAGTAATTATTGACCAGTCAGCCTAGCCTAACATTAATATTTAGCAAGATGTTTCAGTAGATAACATGTCATTTGAATACTTGTAAATAATACTTTGATTGCTAAGTGTCATCATAGCTTTGTCAAAAATAGGTCACATAAGAAAAAAATGATCTCCTTTGATCAGATAATTATAGTAGTGAAGTAGGACAATGGCATGTATATAATCTATTTCATTTCAGTCAATATTTCAAATAATATTTTACCAACAAGCTATTAAAATATAACTTGAATAGTATTATAGTAAGATGGATCCAAAATTGGCGGACTAACTGCACTTAAAATCAGGATTATTTGATCTACCTCAAGTTGGAGAGAGTGGTAGCCAAGAAGGAAATATATCTTGGAGCCACAAATCAACATGTTTATTAATGCCCAAATATCGGTTTCGATAAGCTGCTTATCAAATTCATAGATGAGCTACAATTGGAGGAATCTGACTAACATCAAGGATGACAGAATAAGGTTGCAGTCTAATCTGGACAGATTATGAGACCGCACTGAGAGGAAAAGAATATCTTTTAACAAGGAGAAATGTTAGGAATTACATTTACTGTAGAGTAGAGAAATATAGTCAGTGCATACAGAATGAGTAATTCATGGCTTGGAAGCATTACATTGAGAAGGGCTCTGTATCAGAA